GATGTGCCCCTTTGTGGATGCATGCGCACTGTTGTGTGCATATGCAACGGAGAGAAGAAGGATGAGAAGGCAGGTTGTGTACCTGTGCATCTGAGTGACTGGGTACCTTGGGATGTTTCCCGACCAGAATGACCGCCCACATGGGCCACCCGTGTATATATGCTGGGTGTTTAGGGGTCGCCCCCCTCTGGACGGCTGTCTAGGGCCGCAAGGTAAGGCAACTTTAAGCTGGTTGTCCGACTTCTTGAGGCAACTTTAAGCTGGTTGTCCGCCTTCCCGATATCTTATCTGCTCTTATTCTTTGTCGTCTGTGAACAATGTTTGCCAGTAACGAGCAACCGGACTGTTTCCCCTCAGAATAGAAGGGGCAGGTGAAAAAAAAAGGAAAAAAGAAACAGTGTGTTTGAGATAGAAGAGAAAGGAGTTGAGGAAGAGATAATCCGCTGGGAGATAGAGGGCAACTACTGACGACATGCATATGGATGTGAGTCGGCTCTAGAAGCGCAGGTGATCCAAAGCCTTGCTTCCCATATTACTCCTTGGATGTTGATGGGCTAACTCTTTTGGTTTTTTGGGTGGCTGTGAGGAAATAAGCCCTCGGCCGTGCCAGAAAGGCCTTTGGTCGTGCAGAGAAAGGCCCTGCCCGCTCTAAGCGAAGGCCGATCAGGAAAATGCAAGCCGGCCTTAAGTGAAGGCCGGCCTCAAGAAAGGGTCCCGGGTGGCTACCATCGTGCAGCTTACAGCCTAGGGCCCAGTCTACGAGTTGGTTACAGAGGCTGGGCCTTTACATTCTTCCGAAAGGCTCAGGGCACAGGGTGCTGGGACAGGGCCCAGCCTGCTCATGGCCTCGCGAGTCTCTCCAGCCAGCACAAAAGATGGCTGCCCGTCCAGTCAGGCACATTCGGGCATTCAGGCAGTGCGGCAGCACTGCAGGAGCACCTGTTTAGTGCTGTGGCCGTGGAAGGAAGCCGCTGCAGTGGCAATGAGCGGGAGGAGGGTGGGTGCCAGCCATAGCCAGGCTGGGCGTGCCAAGCCGGATGGTGGAAGTGCGGTGATCCTCGGGGAAGAAAGGGAGAAGGGAGGTGGCGAGAATGAGGCATGTACCTGGTGTTGATGAAGGCAGCTGTGCGATCAGAGTCTTCAAGCGGCATTTGGTGATTGATACGTGGATCAATTGCTTGCATGAAGAGCTAGAAAGTAGAGCGGGCGTTCAGGACACCAGTATTGTCGGGCCTTGATGATTGGAAGCTTTAGAAGGGCTTTCTTTATGAAGAGACTTCGGAGTATTGCTTGTCCCTATTTGGTGTGTATTTCGCCTGGATTTCTGCTTTCGATTTGGCTCAATTATGTCTAGTCTTCTGCGAGATGTTGCAATCTGGTTTACTGCTGTTCTCGTTGCTTATTTCCTTGCACGACTCTTCCTGAGAGAGTAAAACTCGTCCTTCAGCTTCACGAGGTTGATGCACATGCCCCTCAGGCAAATATGAGGATATTGTGGGTGTTTCTTGAGAGTGGCAAGAGGAGGTGTTTTTCTTTTACCCTTCTGAAGTGGGAAAGTTCCACCAATATCATTTGTTTGATTCTTTCGTCAAATTCTCAACTTTTCTGTGAAACATGCTTACGGCCAGATTTACAACCAGTATTCTTTAGTTTGTTTCTTTGGTCAAGGTCTCAAATTTTCTCTCAAACATGCGTACAGGCAGATTACAACCCTTATGACGCACTGGACTCCTTTGCTTTGTCTATCCCCTTGATCTGGCAAGAACTCACCAATGTTGATGTCAACAGTGGTAACGAGTGAAAGTTCAGGGGATTCATCAGCCATTTATCTTCCCACCTTTCAAAATGATCGCTTTTCTGGTCTTTACAAAGGTATTGACATGTCTCTACCAAGCACGTTCGTGTATCTGCAGCGTTCTTCAGGGGAGGACAGACTCAACACTGGTAAAGGGTTTATTATATTCAGGATCCGAGAAGGCTGCCCTTTGGCCTCCGATAGATGATGGTGCAAGCCATTCATACCTGTACAACGCCCAAATTACAATGAGAGTTCGGATTCTCTCCCTCTCTCGCTCTCTCTACCCTACAGACAGGCCTCACTCCCTCTAACTCTCTGAATGTCTTCCTCTCTCTCTCTCTCTCTCTCTCTCTCTCTCTCTCTCTCTCTCTCTCTCTCTCTCTCTCTCTCTGGCGCCGGGCGCTGCTGACTAAGCTACTCTGTCTCTCAGCCTCACTTGCTGCTTGACAGCAGAAGACCGCAACCGCGCTTCTGCGACAGGCCAAATGTAAATTGTGCTGTTGTCTTGCTGCCTTTTGTGTTTGCTGCAGCTCCCATAATTGGATCTTTGCAGACCAGTACCCTTTGCGAGCTGGCTGTGGTCTGCTGCCGGCGCATGTGGAGTTTTCATGGACTTTCCTAGGACTGAGCTGCGTGGACTGACAGACGGCCCCTACAGACCGGTAAAGAGCTGGGCCTCCTAGACTTTCTAGTCTACTGGCCAATCGAATGCATGTTTTTTTTGTGGTGAGCGTTCTTCCTTCATTTTGGCCTGCAATCGACATGCCATTTGTCGGGAGTGTATGGTGGGCATGCTCAATGCCAGCCGTCGTGGCAATTGTAGGTTACTGAGTTGGAACAGGCAAGCACCCATCTACTATGGACTTGGAACTGGATGGGAGTCTGAGATGCGTGAAATCCTTTCACAGACAAATGCACCACTTGCACAGCCAATATGTCAAAAGATGTCATACACTGCTTGCTAGCCTGTCCTGAAGTGATCTGGTGTTGGAAAGAGTCGAGCTCGAGGTCTCTCTTCTCTCCTCCCCCTCCACGCCACACCTATCACCTCCATCCTGTTATACATCGATCTACCAAAAGACCTGCGAGGCAGTAAAAGACACTGGTTCCTGGTCCTCATGGAAGTCACCTTATGGATCATATGGAAAAGACGGTGTGCTTACACGATCGACAAAGACATATTAGCAAAAGAGAAAGGCCTGGTCCCAACTTACGTAGATGGTGAAGGCAAATTCGATGCAAGTGGAACTCAGTCGATCAAGTGGCAAAGAGTAGCCCAGACAAATTCATGCCGGTGAAGAGAGCCTTTCACAAAGGGTGGTTATTGCGGGGCAAGGTTGCGGCGATTGGGGAGGACAACAGATTGAAATGAGAAATGGGGCATATAACATATAATACGCCACTACATACGAACAAAGGTATCTATGTACGTATTCTCATTTCTAATCCATTGGTCTTTTACTATTTCACTAATTACTAAGAGCTCCACGTAAAGTCTCTGAGAATCCTACTGATAAATCAAAATGTGTGTTGGTTTCGTGCGGATCGCCCTCTAATTGGGCTGACCAAGAATATTGATGTACGCTTGGTCTACCCTCGAACCCCAACAGTGTACTCTGGCGGCAAGACTGGTCTGGGCTATAACTATAATCATCATCAGTTTACTTGACTTGGTCTACCCTGAACTCCACGGGATCTTGGAAATAACGACATTATGGTGATCCTGGCAGCAGCTGTGTGTTTTAGGCTATCTGATGGTCAATCCTCCATCGAGGAGCAAGCAATGCTGGTCAGGGGTCCTTCGGCCTAGGAGGAGGGAAGCATGGAGTGGGCCATATATTGTATTTCATTTCCTACTCACTGGTGGAATGGAACTGGACTGACACTCGCCAGAATGGACAAGGAGCCTGAACCATAATGACCTGTTTTTCGTTTTTGTTGTTTAACAATGCTAGCCAGCCTTACCCCGTTTGCATGATGACTGAAGTGGTACAAGCTTATGTTTTTATTATTCTAATGTGTATTAACCTAAATGACGCTTTAAATCTTCATTAACCACTTTCTTCCACTTCCTGGCCTCTGGTGACACAACCGCCGCGAAGCGTTAATCTTTCCCACCCATCCCCGGGTGGCGTGGTGTCGGCTCCATTCTTTTCTTGGCCAGGCAGTGATGAAATATTGCAGAGCATTCCGAAAACCTGAAGTAGTTTCCCCAACCTGAAATCAACAGAACCAAAAGCACTGATGAGTCGGTGTACAGTGGAACCTTTGTGAGATTGTATTACAAAACGAGTTTGCAAAAGAAGTGTTTCTAGTGATTTCTTGGACGGAGCAACTCTGCTGACGAGCCCATGGGATTCTGACGCGACGCGTCTGCTCTTCGAGCCTTTGCCAAGGTGGAGAACATCATGTGCTAAGAAATGGAATCCTTCTCCCGTAGCGACTATGCGAGTTTGATCAGGCACAAAGTGCAGGCCGAGGTCGCACACTTTGATAACTATAGGTGACCTTACGGCCGCCCTCAAAAGCACATTCATAAGCTGACAGTTTTTCCGGATAAGTTAGGCTGGATGAAGAAGCAAATAAGAAAGAAAGGCTAATTAAGATCAAAGAAAGTAGTATGGTCGGACTGCTTGCATTGATTGATATGTATTAAATTGGAGTAGTGACTGCCACTTGTAGTGCTCTGAGAAATGGGGTTGTCCATGCGACTGACGTTTTTTCCTGTGTTTTCTTCTCCTAAGAAAAAAACTGGTCCTTGCGTGACGCTTCACGCGCGCCCACAAAAAACAGGATGGGAGGTGGTATTGGCAGGGCGTGGCCCGTTCGGGAAGTGCCAAAATGTCCCTTTTTTTGTCCGGGTGTGGGGAGCCCCTTTTTTTCGAGTGTCGGGCGCTGTGTGGAACTGCTCTCTGCATGAAGGTGCGGGCGCCACGATGGGGAAAGTGCGCCGCACCAGTGAACGGCAGGAGGACCAGCATGAGGAGGAGCGGGATGTGGGGTGGGCTGACAAGCGCGAGCAGGGGAAGGAGGAGGACGGGGAGGATGACGAAAAGGAGGGGCCAGGGAGGTGACGAGCAGGAGGACAGTGGGTCTCACTCCACTACTCACCATGTGCAGAAAAGAGGAAAATTATGGCCGTGTATCTTCCCATGTTCTAGCGGAAGGTTCATTCTCATTTTGTAGATTTGGTGAGAAGTGGAGCGAAACCCAGTAACGGGAGGAGGTGCACCATGAGGAGGAGCGGGCGGGATGACAAGTGGGAGGAGGGGGAGGATGTCGAAGAATGGCAGGAAAAGGAAACCGACAACCAGGAGTGGAAGGAGGAGGGGGAAGACGACAAGCGGGAGTGGTAGGAAGAGGACGACGAGCGGGAGCAAAAGGACAAGGAATGGGAGGTGGAGGAACGGGAAGAGGAGAGGTGAAGCAGGATGAGTACGAGGATGAGCAGGAGGACGAGGATGGTGAATCATAGGAGGTAGAGGGGAAGGAAGACGAGTGACAGGATGTCAACAAGCAGGAGGAGGAGGAGATGGGGGGCCTTGGGAGGAAGAGGCAGAAGAATGGAAAGATGAGGGGGAGAATGACCCGTGGGAGGAGGAGGAAAATTAGGGGATGACGAGCTGAAGGAGGATATGATGGGAGGAGTCCGACGAAGTCAAAGACGAGAGCAGGAGCAAGAGGAGGACTAGGACATCGGAGGAGGATGCAGGAGGACGTGGCAGTGTCGGCTGCTTCTTAGTGCGGTGTGTGTGTGTGTGTGTGTGTGTGTGTGTGTGTGTGTGTGTGTGTGTGTGTGTGTGTGTGTGTGTGTGTGTGTGTGAGAGAGAGAGAGAGANTGTGTGTGTGTGTGTGTGTGTGTGAGAGAGAGAGAGAGAGAGAGAGAGAGAGAGAGAGAGAGAGAGAGAGAGATGGACGGTGGACCGACACTGCCTGTGGGGAAAGTTGATCATGGCAAAAAAAAAAGAACACCGGCCAGCAAGAAGAGAGAGAACAGCCGACGATTCTGGGAGGAAAGAGGGACGATGAGGGATGATGATGACGACGAGGATGAGGCGGATGACGATGGAAACGACACTACGGACGATGAGGTGGACGAGGGAGGATGAAGACAAAGACGATGGTTACCATTATCATCATCATCATCATCATCATCATCACCATCATCACCATCATCACCATCATTATCCTCATCATCATCACCGTCATCATCATCATCATCATGGTTCCAAGCATCATCATCATCATCATCATCATCATCGCATCCCTTGTCATCATCGCCACCACCATTGTAATGACTACCGCCGTCATCATCTCTATCATCCTCACTACTGCCGCCTGCGATATGTTTTTCTTTTCCCTGTCTTGGTCCCCGGCGCATGTCCGAAGAAAAAAAGAAAAAGAAAAACAAGAAAAAGAAAAAAGAAAGCGAAAAAACGCTGTGGTCCATCTGGAAGAAAAGGTGCTGCAGAACCATTGAGGGACTCTCAACTCCAAGGAGGAAGGTATGGGCTGAGACAAGGACCTTGATTCAGGCAGAGATTCTTTGTAAGTGGCATAAGACGTGACACTCCATCACAGATGACGAAGAGCAACAGAGAAGAATCAAGGCAAAATTCACTACAGTGTGGCTCGCAGGGGGCAAAGTAGCAGAGATAAATGACTTTCGCATGCGGTGGAACGACTGGCACAACTCAGAAGCAGGGTGGAGAAGCCAGAGATCCCAGCCAGCAGATGGACAAGATCTATCACAGGCCACGTAATTCCGAGATTGCATCTTCCGTAGCTTCTTTTACCTTCTTGCTCTTTATCATTTATCTGACAGGTTCATACAGTGGACCTGAGAGGAAAGGTGGAAGTAAGGCAAGCTGACAGTCAATCCTCCACGATGCTGGAGTAATCAATGCTGGTCAGGGTTCCTTCGGCCAGACGGAAGGAAGCGTGTGTTTCATGACGTAATATTTTGTTCTGATTTGCCGGTGGAATGGGAACCGGACTGATGCTCCCCAGACTGGAAATGGAGCCAGGGCCACAAGGACCTGTTTTTTTTGTTTTTTTTTTAAGAAAAGAAGAAAGAAGGCTTTACATCCCCATCTTGGATTGTGTTGATGCAGGTCTCCTTGCGATCAACAGCTGGTGGATTGGAGCTTACCAGCATTCTTAAGAGAATGAAGCTGGGTGCGATCCTATTCATGATTTCTACTAGGGGTGCCAGTCTAACTGGCCATCAGGGAGGTGATTGTCCGTCCGAGCACTGGACAGGAGGCAGAACTAATTGAGGAGGACCTTTCCGGGTGAGCTTCATGGCGACTTCCTTGTGAACTTGCTTGAGCACCACATGACTTTGACTGTGCATGTTCACAGTGACCCGCTATAAGTCGACAAGCAGCAAATACGATCCAACATCAGGATTTGAACTTTTGACTTGTTTTTGAACAGTTATATGTATGTACCATTCCGCCATCTGGCAGGTTCCAAGCAAGAAAATATCATTGTGTACCTATACCTGCAAGATCACAGGCGTTGACTTTGAATTCCCTTAGGGTTGAATCATGTCGAAGGATTCTTCTGATAGCAAAGGTCAGGAGGGAGGGGCTCGTGGCAGACGGGCTCCTTCTCTTCGCACCTCCATTGTGAAGATCACCAACACTGCTGCACTGCAGTCGTCTGCCACAGGTGCCAAAAATGGCTCAAGAAAGTCAAGTCTGGCGACAGGCATGCCTCCAAGCTTCTTCTCGCGGGGGGAAAGTGACAAACTTGTTGGCGGCGGCAAGAAGGGGTTGTCAGAGGTCGACGATGAGGGATTGATGAGGGGAAGGGTCACTGGCCATGCTCAAGGGCCTGGAGAGGCGGAAATGAAACTTCTTAGCCAAAGACTGGGAGTGCGGGCAAAGCAGGTGCGGGGACAACTATCCCCATCTCCCTCCTTCAGAGCAGCGATGCTGGCCCAAGGAGCGGGAGATGGTCGGCGTACATCTGGAGGCAGCGGGATGCGTGGAGGATCTCCACTGCGGCGGCTACTGAGCGGATTGCACACTCGCAACCCTGGCAGTGGGCATAGCTCCTTTTCCATCCCAGGTAGGCTTGGGTTTACAGGAGAGGTGATTACGGAGTCGGATGGTGAGTTCATGGCCATGGTCGCAAGCATACAGAGTAAGGACGACAAGAGGGGTGCAGACTCCAGGGAAGATGGCAGCGGCGGATCCATCTTTGCCTCCAAGCGGAAGGTCGAGGCCACTGTAGAACCACCCATTAATGTCCAGTCACTTCCGATAATCAAGCAGGTGAGTCCCCTTGTTTATCAGAGATTCCTCCTTTGGATAAGGTCAACTCCAAGGACAGTTGCGAGGACAGGAAACAGAAACGTCACCATAGCAGGAAGCTGTGCAAGACTCAGTATTTTCACAACTAACTGTGAATCATGGAGGTCAAATGTCAAAAAGACAACTCTGTATGAAAGTTGCAGAATTCCGTCGTCAATAAAGGCGTCCCTGAATTCAGGGCATACCTTTCCCCTGTCCCCCCACCCTTCCCCTCCTCCCTCTCCCTTTCTTTCCCCCTTTCCAAAGCCAGCAGCCACAGTATATCTCACCTCCCTTGGGACGACGCATGGTAAGATTTATACAGACACTGCCTGCACACCGTGCAAGGAGTTTAGGTCCATGGTTGTAGTATGCTGGATAGGGCCATAGGGAGGGCTGCTTGAGTGCTTGGTCTTAGGGGGTCTGAGGATCAGGGTCTTACCTTGGCTCCACCATGGGCTGGGGGGGGTGCTGTGGGGGCGGGGGCAGGAGGGATATGTTAGGGGGAGGGCTTACTGCCTGGACTGTCGATCTACAATACTAAAAGAATCGTTAACGTCATATCGCACGGCCCAGGTTGCGGCCCGGTCACCACCCATGGATGGCCCAGATTGCAGGCCGATGAGAAACTTTTCTCATCGGCCTGCGATCTGGCCCGTCCGCAGGTGGTGACCGACCCGCAATCTGGGCCGTGCGATACCGCTTCGGCCCGCCCGAACGGCCCTTCTGAACGTGCGCCCGCGCCCAGCCCTGAAATCGCCCTTCGAAGGGCTGTCCGCCATTCGAAGGGGTGGGCTTCTCAATCGTCTCGGGCACGGCGGCACGCTACGGCACTCGACGGCACGTGACTGCACGGGACGGCATGCGACGGCACGCTACGGCACACTATGGCACGCGACGGCACACGACGGCACGGCGGCATGCTACGGCACGCACGGCACGCGACAGCACGCGACGTGCTCATCGTGCTCTCTCTCTCTCTCTCTCTCTCTCTCTCTCTCTCTCTCTCTCTCTCTCTCTCTCTCTCTCTCTCTCTTT